GTTGGGGCCAGGCCACGGACTCAAACTTCGAGTTGGACTCGTCGTCGTCCAAGTGATTGCCACCCCATTAAAAAAACGGCTGCGCCTACTTGTTGCTGTTGTTGTTGTTGTTCTTGTTGCTGTTATTGTTGTTGTTGTTGTTGTCTTGGCTCCTGCCACGATCACTCAATAAGTCTAGACAAAAATGAAGCTGGTGTTGTAGCTGTGATTGTCGCTCTGTGCTTTGCTACGCTCCTCCTCCTCCTCCTCCTTCTCCTTCTCCTTCTCCCGTAATGGATCAGCACGTTTTGTTGGGGCTGTTGCTTTTTGAAAGAGCTCTGACTACTTGATGGTCTATCTACAATGCTACGTCATCAGTGGGGCTGCCATCAAAGCATCATATTTGTTGCATGATTATGTGGTAATTGCGGCTGTCAATAAAACTCCCCCGTTTATTCTTTATAACCCAAAGCATTCTACGCCTATATTTTATATATACCCCCATACACACACCGCACTTCTTCAGGCCAACTGCTGCTGCTGCTGTGCTGTGTGCAGCTCTCTATCTTTAACTATGGCTTTGGGAGTATGGGTTTGGGTTTGGGTTTGGGCTGTGAAGTTTTGGGTTTTGCTTCGTTTTGGGTTGACGGGTTGCCTGGTTTGCTTGGTGTGTGACTGGCTATAAAAACCCGTCCAGACGGTACCGCACTATGATTTACTTTGACAAAGGAGTGACATACAAGTACTTAAGTGATTTCTTTACACCTTTTATGGAGTAGTTAATGTGGCCATGGTATGCGCGCGCCTGGCATTGAGCAAAGTCATGCCATCGGCTCCCACCGCCACCACCACCACCACCACCACCACAAGCAACACGTCAGCGCACCACTAACCCACCGAATCCCCCAACGTTTTGCTATGCTTGTCATTTTGGCACTTAGCGGCATTTAGACTGCGACTTTAGCTACAACTTCACATCTTCACGTCTCCATCTCCATCTCCATCTTCATCTCTATCTACATCTACGTTCTGTGGCTTTTGTTGTTGCCTGCCTCTGAATGCGACTGGTGTGCTGGGAAACGCCTCGAGAATTATTCAGTTTCACCTCCTCCCACTGTTTTCTTTTTCCTTAATCGGGTTTTCTGTTAATGTGATCAATATGTAAATGCTGAGTGCGGCTACTTGATATTTTTGACACAATACTCACATCGTGGTTCCTTTACATTTCTTATCGCTATTTTAATCAAATCATTTAAGGAATTATCATAATTAAAATTGTGACAGCCAACAAGATCAACTGATGTCAATCTGAAAATTCAATCAATACAGTATGGGGTATATTTATTTAAGTGTGTGTTTTTTTAATATAAGACAGTTCAAATTGTATCTTTACATAGATGAAATAAATATGTAATTGGTCCCATTTTAAATTCATTTCCTTATGAGTAAACTTTTCTATCTTTCATTTATTTCCATTGTATAGCATTCTACCACCTGTTTAAACTAAACATTTATCTTCCCTCTCGTTTTCAAAAAATTACAAACTATTTTAGCCCATTTTTGCATTTATTCGCTTATCCCCAATGACTTCCGTTCCATTTGCGTAACTGTTAACCCAGTTAAGATCCACTTTCGTAATACATATATGATCAGTTTAGCCAAGAGTCCAACTGCAAAGGCGTTGGCAAGTGTGGGCGTGTTGATTACAGTGCTCAATATAAGTGCTCGCATATGCTTGTTAAATGCATTAAAAAATAGTCTCGAGGCTTTCAACGCATCATCGTCGTCGTCTGCCTTTTTAAGGTTTGGAGGCCCCAGTTAAGATCAGTTCATTTGCAGTTAGGTGTTAATATTGGCACACAGCACGCTCCCAAACTGGGGCTTGGAGCAGCAGCTTCATGCATCACATGAAGCGTGTAGAGTCGCCGGGTCCAACCTGGGAGTTCCACTAACTGGTGGCGTTGGTGTCATTTCTTGTTGTTGCTGTTGTTGTTGTTAATGCTGTTATTGTCGTAGGTGCGGAAAGTGTTCCAAATGCGCGACAAGAGTTTAGGGTGTAGTCTGTGTGTAGCGTCTGTGTGTGTGGGTAGCAAATAAAAGCGCCAAACACACTTAATGGATTTGGAGCACATAAATGGAGTATTTTGCTATTTATTCGATCCGTTCCAGCGCACTTTCAACTGGTAGCTGGGTGCGTCGCTGTGCTGTTGCTGTCGCTGTTGTCGTCTATGGAAGGCATCTTTTAGCTGGCTTGTTAGCAAAAATGCCGCTGGGTGTTGGCCAATCTTTGCAGATCAAACACTGAAGACTCAAAGACTGCTCCCCGCTCCCTTTCTTCCACTCTCTCTCCCTCTCTCTCTCTCCCTCACTGTTTGTCATTTGCATGCAAATTCGCTGGCTCGGGTGTTGTGTGTGTGCAGTCAAAGTGTCAAACAATGTCAGTGGGAGAATGTGTCTCGCAATTGAAATTTATTTGCACTACTATTCAGAGCTGACAATGCGCGAAAGGGACGCAAACCCCACCAAAAAGAAAAAAAAAGAAAGAAAACACAAAATACGAGCCTCAGCCTCAGTTCGTCTGACTAGATCTCTCGGCGCGTCAACTCGTCAAGCCTTGTCTGCGGCAGGCAATGGCCAAGACTGCACCCAATGAGGCCCAGAGGCAGCTTCTGTCTGTCTTATGGTTACCCTTCGCTCTACCACCCGCCGCCTCTTTGGCCGCCAATTGCTTTGAAAAGGCAGCTAGCCAAGATTCGAGCAAGCTCAGCATTTGCAAAATGTCAATCTGTTGCAGCGCATCAATTCAAGTGTGAAATAAATAGAAACGAATTCAGGTCTTATAGTCTCTCCCATCCTCTCACCCTACCTCTCTGGCCTTACTACCATTCAGTGGAGCATTTGCTATAATTTTCGCGCCATTTACCGTCGACTCCTCGCGTCATCGTCGTCGTTGCGAACTCGTCGCGCCAACTGTCAAGTCAGCAGGCAAAGCGAAATATGTTGAAAGTATTTACAATTACGCAAAGATTGATTGAAATAGATTTCGGATTGATTGGCTCTCTTGGTATGCACATTGACACAGCTGAAACTGAAGCTGATGCTGATGCTGTGGCTGCCTGCTGAGAAAAAGATCCGCACGGAGCTTTGTGTGGGAATTGTTTTCGCTGAACTGCAGTTTGCACTTGCTGACGAGTGCCTGGGGACTGATTTGTTGATAAAAGCAGCAGGCAATCGCATACTTGTCTATTTCTAATTTATGCAGCTCATCAAATTCATTGCCGAATTAAATTGTATTTTGCGAAAAGAAATTAGAACAACGTTATTTAACTAGGTGAAGTCAACTTAACGATAAAACTCCAAAAATGTTCAGTAGTAAAATCACGAAAGAATCCTTTTAAAATAATAGTCCATTAAGCAAATAAATTAAGATTCCAATATCTTGTAGTTCACAGTCAGCTCAATCAATATATATGTAGTGAAAGAAATATTCACAAATATTTGTGATATAAATTGAAGTTCTTTAAAACTTTCATCTCTCTAATTTTTAAATATTTTAAAATAATATTACAACATTTCTTTATATTAAAAACTCAAATCTATGTATCGCAGCAAGAAATATTTGAACATTTTAAAGATTTTTATAATCGTTTATTTTTACGATGTCACACACATAGTAGCTTCGACTTTCTCTAAACCAGCTCACAGCTCTAAATGGTATCCATACAGCATAATTTACAATAAATAACTTTGTATTTGTTGTACGGATGTGACCCGATTTCTCAGGGCTCGTAACGCACCTAGAAACCCATGAAAATGTCCATCAAAGTCGTTTATCTAAATGTTTATTTGTGTTTATTTAATATCAATAATATTTTTCAGTTTTATTCTTTTCATGTTATATCGCACAATTTGCATGTTAAATACAAATACGAGACAAAAAATAGTCTATAATAATAATTTATGCTATACATCTTGGTGCTTTGATTTTATTTATTGTCTATATATAAAGGCTAAAGATATGAATTTGCTAATTGTGACTAATAACTCGTTAACTAAAGCAATCAAATACAGTAGTTTTAAGTTGAAATTCGCTATGTATTGTACAGGCATTCGTATAACCTTTTATTTCTATTAATTACCATTCGAATTTGTAAGCTAAGAAATACTTGAAATATTTATGTATATAATATGCCTATTAAGAAACTTTAGGTATGTATAAATGTATAAGTATATTAGACTATACAAATAACTAAACACGGAGCTTATAAATTAACAATTCCACTACTATATTATGCAAACAATACAGATAAGCTCTCTTGCATAATTTGGCGACAATTTGGGTTAGTCTCGTTTCGATTCGTCTTGTCTTAAATCGAATCGATTCGATTTCATTCCATGTCATCGTCATCGTTCTAAAATACTCGTCCATTTAATTTTGCCTAAGCGAAATGTTTGTTGTATAATGCGTTGCATCTAATTAAGAACTTGACTCGCGCCGTTTTGTTATACTTTTCAGATCTCATATGCTAATTTTGGATATTCGGCGGCACCTTTTGCATATTATTGTCATTTCGCTAGTTGTTTTAAACGATGTGATAATATCTTAAAACAAACAACAAAACGGCACGAATCACAATCTTAACATTGAGCGCACCTGTCGTTGTTGTATTTGGCATAGCGGGAGGAAGGTGAATGGGATTAGGGCAAGGTAGGTTAAGGGTCAATGGTGAATTTTATTTATACTTCAAATAACACTATGCAACAAAAAAGATCAATTAGTCTTGCACTAACCATTTTTGTTGTTGTTGTTTTTTCCTTCTAATTTTAAGTAAAATAAATTAGATTTTACATTTAAATGTATTTGTTATTATTATTTTAATGGTACTTTATTAAATGATAATGTATCATTTAAAAACTGTTTATAATTTCACTATTTTTTTTTTATAATTACAATTTCAATTGGCCTAACTGCAGTTATATTTTAAAGTTTTTCTTCTTCTATTTTTAAAAAACTTGTTGAATCAAAAATTTTGGTTTTTGGGGCTACTGTATGATAAACAAAACTTAAAGATGGTAATCTAACTTTTTACATTATCCAAAAGAAATAAAAAATACTCCTTGGAAATATTCATGTTCATTTCCAAGCATGTTAACTATTTATAAACATACAAAAAAACACTTTTAAAATAATAATCTTGTTTGTCTAACAAAATGATGTTGCATAGTGTTAAGTCCAGCGACTGATTGCCGCTATACTGTGCAGCGTTTAGTGAGGTTATGGTCAAACCTTGGTTGTCAAATCGAGTGCCGTTGAGGTGGCCACTTTAACGGCCAAGTTGGCTGCTGGTGGTGCTGGTGCTGGTGATGGTGAATCCAAGCGCAGACGCTTCGAACCATTCGATTCCTGTATCAGTTCATTCAATTTGCGTTTGATGCTCTCGTTGGCCTCATTATCACTGGTGGTACTACTATTATTATTGTTGTTGTTGTTGTTATTATTGTTGTTGCTATTGTTATTGTTATTATTATTATTGTTATTGTGGTTTTTCTCAACGCTGGTCTTCACCGTTTCCGTGCTGCTAGTATCCTTGAGCTCGACCTGAGCTGATGACTCTACATCCTCGTCCTCTTCATCATTGAGTCCGGCTAACTTAATAAGTTCTGGAGCGGATGATTTATCAGTTGCTGCCTCATTGTCACTGTAGATGTCGGCCTCAGCCTCCTGGCAGCTGCTCTTAATACTGCTGCTACTCCTCGAGCTGGTGCTGCCAGTGGTTTTCATGCTTAAGTCAATGGGATTATCCTGTGCTGCCCCACTTTGCTCTGTCGGCTGCTCCGAGTCGTGCTGCGACTGCTGTTGCTGCTGCTGCTGCTGGGCTGGCGAGCTTGGCGGTGTCATGGATACGACCAAATCCTCCTCATCATCCTCATCCACATCCTGCGGCTCCAGTTCATCCTCACCAACTTTATCGCTGCCAGTGGTTATGGTTGCCTCTCGCTCGTCTTCCTCGTCATCCGGCTCGCCATTGCTCTGCCTGCTCTTCACACGCTCCCGCCCGCTCTCCGAGTTGGGTGTGACCAGCGCCGATATGGAATAATCCTGTTTGCTGTGTGGCGGCAGCTTTGTTGCCAGCGGCGGCGGACTGTGCTGCTGGGACTTAAGCACCGCATCCAAATAGAAACGTTTCGTCAGCTCATCTGCTGCACTCGTCGCCGCAGTTCTGCTGCCATTGGGCAGTAAATGATTGCTGCTGCTATTGTTGTGATTGGGACTCAAGGCCGACTCCTCTTTGTGACCGGCGAAGGGCGTTGCAGTGTGTAGCTGCGGTGCAAAGCGCTGTCCGCTCGCATTGCTGGAGTTGAATAAATGCTGCACTGCAGCTGCGGCCACCGCCGCCTGTTGTTGCTCTGGCGTCGGCTTCAGCAGACCCTGGTGATGCGAATACAGCGCAGGATGATAGCCAGGAAAGAGCAGATGCGAGGGCGGCAAAAACGCTGGCGGTGGCATCACTGGCAATGTACCGAGACCCGGAAATGGCAACGGCAAAAACGGTGCCAGATCCTTGCGCAGTTGCGGCGGCCGTCCAGGCGCTGTGCCGCTGCCCGTTTGTCCGGCATCCCCGGCCGCATTTGGCTTGCTGCTGCCACCACCCAGTTGCAGCAGCGAGTTGCCACGCACACTGCTCACCTCCACCGAGCTGTCAGAGTTGTGCGAGTCCGGTGAGCTGACAGAGGGTGAAGCAACTAGCGCAGGATGCTTAATGCCGCCATAATCCACACTGCCATCCAGTCCCAGCATCATCAGCTCCTCCTTGCTGCGCGGTGGTCCTGCCCCGTACAGACTCGCATAGCCGCCCGTCGCATGCCCCAACATGCCCAGAGCAGCAGCAGCAGCCGCCTGTCCCGGTCCACCCGACATGCCCTTCACACAACCATTTGATACGGATCCAGCTGCGTTCGTCGCTCCGCCAGCCTGCTGGCTGTTGTGGTGTGCGGCCATCGCAGCAACCGCCTGTTGCTGTTGCTCCTGCAGCAGACAGTGGATCTTGAACCAGTTGGAGCGTCGACCGTACCGCGAGCCACTCTTCGACATACCAACCATGAGGCACTTCTTCAGGCGGCAAGCCTTGCAGGCTGTGCGATTCTTTTTGTTGATGATGCATTCGCCGTTATTCTTGCAGTCCGATATAGAAGACAAATTGTTATATGAGCGGCCAAAGAAGGACTGCAAAGAGAGCGGAGTTAAAAATATTGCAATTAGTTTTAGCTTAAGCTCGAAAAAATATGTATTTGCTATAAAAGCATTTTCTATCAACTCCGAACTGGAAAGAATTTGGTTTAATGAAGATTAAAGAAGATTTTCATCAAAAATATAATTATTACAAAATAAACAATTATTTTTATCTGTTATCATCTAAAGAATAATTGATAATCAAGAATGCTGTTGTCTCTTCAGCTTGGAATCTGTTTACCTTAACTTGCAGCAATGTTGGCACTCTACTTCTTCTTCGTTTTATATTGATATATTTGTTTTATCATTGATATACTATAAGTATAAACTAAATTAATATTTACACTCCTTTTTTGCATTCCTCTCACACAGGCTCAATAGACAACTCTTTAATTTCGACACCTACAAAGCGGACACTCAGCTTAAAAGTGTTGTTTGCAAAATTCTTGAACTTCAAGTGTTGTTTCCTGCAGGGTATTTGCTAGCAGCGGAGTCACTCTTTGATTTGCTTAGAAACAAGTTGCGTTGCTTTCTTTTTTGCTAACAATTTCTTTTTGCCTGGCTGTGTATTGTAAATGCAGTTTTATGATCTTTTAGCCATGATGTCATTCAACAAGAATAACTCATTAAATTTTGTGATGATTCATCAATGGCTGCTGGTGTTGGTGGCGTTGATGCTGTGAGCTCGTAAAAGCACTGCCAAAAAAGAAACACAGCGAATCGAAATGCAACAAAAGCACATCCACAGACACATCAACATCCAGCTACACCTACACATTAACCGTTGGCTGGGCCACAATCAATTGCCAACAAAGCAAACAAACAATTTAATTCAATGCGGCACGAAAAAGACTACAACATGTTGCTGTTTGGCTGTTTGGCTGGCGAGCACAGCATGTTGCAAAGGTTATAGGCTGTGCAACACTTATGCCAAGTTGCAATGTTCAACGTAAATCACAGCTCAGCAGAGCTTGCAATCAAGTTGGCGTATGGACAATATACCGACCGACAGACAGACAAACAGACAGACAGACGGAGTAACAAACAGTCGAACAGACAAACAGAGAGTCAGACAACGAGACAGTCATGTCTGTCAGTATTCAGTCAGTTGCAGTTTAAGTTGTTGTTGTTGTTGTTGTCGTCATCGTCGTCGTCGTAGGTGGAGTTTGAGTTGTTGTTGTTGTTGCTGGAGACGCGCAAATTGAACTGCGCATAGAAACAGAAACAATGCGAAAATCCACTTTTAAGGTTAATTGGGCATCAAGATTACTGGGTCGGAAATGGAAATGGAGGATTTTCGTATACGTATACGTATATATATATATGTATGTGTGTGTGTATGTTTATTTTTGTTTTTCTTTCGGTTTCTTTTGCGTTACGTTTTCGTTTTCAGTTTCGTTTGAAAGAGCAGCAGAACCGGACGAACTTACTGTACCCGGCTATTTACAAGCAATTTTGTGCGCCAAGGCGGATTCACTTTTGTTTGTTTTATCGAAATGTTCCCTTGCCTCTCACACTCTGTCTCTATCAATCTTTGTATTCGTATCGTTTATGCCTTTTAGCCTTCTGCTGCTGCATCATCATCGTCGTCATCGTCATCATAATCATGATCATCATCATTGAAGCGACGCGCTTCGTTTCGTTTTTGGGCTTTTGTTTTGCTTTTGGTGGGCGTCAAATTAGCCGGCCCACGCCATGGCGCACAAATCAAATAATGTTGACCCACAAATTGTACGTTAGTTGACCTTTTTCTCCTTGCGCGCACAAACGACGACAAATCTGAAATCCTCACCGCCCCCCGTTGTCCTGCTGCCTGATCTTGAGGCATTTTAAATACTCGTGTTTAAATCAATTATGCATTTTGTGGAGCGCTCTTTTTGTTTAACTTTGACCTTAGCCTGAGGCGTTCTTTGTTGTCGTTTATCTTATTGTTGCTGTTATTGTTGCTGCTGTTGCTTTTGCTGTTGTTGTTGTTGTTGTTGTTGTTGCTCGCTCGGCAGATATCGCTCGTAATGAACTCAACATTCCAGTTTTGGTATGGCACCATTTACTCTACGGCGTTGTCACGATGCGGCTGGCTATTTATTATGGAATGCCAATAGCGATCGATAATTGTTATTCATATTGGCAGGGAGGCGCCGAGTGTCGATTATTGTTACTATTTATATAGAAAACTACTAGTTGCTTAGTCTCCTATATGCTATCCTCTCAGTAAACGAGCAAATACATAACACATCAATTAATTCTAACTATATTCAATACGAAGCATCGACTATCTTAAATTTACTTTATGAATCTCTAGAATAATATTTCATCGAGTTAAAAAGCGGCTTAAATGTCCCAAATTAAATGTTTGCGATTTTACAATCAGTCTGTATTACATACGAAAGGATTTGAATAAACCTCTACTCACCTTGCAACCTTCGCATGTGAATGCTCCAAAATGAAATCCAGCTGCTGGCTCCCCACAGACCTTGCACGTCTGATTCATCTGCAGAGAATGAAAAGAAAAGGAGCACAAAATTATAAAAGACATTAGTTTGCCGTGTTCTATTTCGCCTGTCTCTCATTCTTGCGTGCAATGCAAAAATGAAATGAAAAAAAGAAATAACAAAAAAATAGCAACAATAACAGAAACTAAAGGAAAAGCAATAAATTCATAAAATTTCAATTAAAAGCAACAGCAAATCATGACACGAGCATCTACTTCAAGAGAACTGAGAGCAAGTACGCCGCCAGCGAAATTCACACGCATTAAAAATTAAAATGCAAACACAGTTTGTCATATCGCTAAATTGGTATCACAAGAAAGAAAAGCAAAGGAAAAACCAGCCGCACAAACGAATGGAAATGGAAATGAAAATGGACGATGTAGCTGCACTGCTGCGGTTGCTTGGATGCTGGGCCATAATAAAATATGAAGATGAAATCAAATGAAAAATTGCCCCAGAGCACAGCACAAACAAACATCGTAGCAGGCGAGCAAACAAGCAGCGTGTAGAGCATTTGCATTTATATGGCTTGTTGCCAGTTTGCCAGTTTGCTTGTTGCCTGTTGCCTGTTTCTGTTACTAATCTTGCCTCCTGCTTCCTTTGAACTGTCTGGCGCAATAGACCTTAGCAACTTGTTGCCAAGGTACAAGGTATATATTTGTTTATTTATTGCGAGCGAAATGTTTATCAACAAATTGCCATCATTGTTGTTGTTAGGTCGCTGGCTTTACTGCACTTTATTTGTTTTGGTGTTTGGGGCATTGGGGCCTTAGATCTGCCACGGGCAGCATTACGTTTTTGCCTTGTGCACTTGTGGCTTAAACTGGAGCAAAACTTTTTTGACACGCACACACGCCAACCTGTACAATAAGCCGTGGGAGACTTTGCAACAAAGTTTGTTTGGAGTTCATGAGTCAAGTCATGAGGCATACATGAAAATATATACATATGAAATAGCATCGTTCATTTTGTTCCCTTGACGATTTATAAATGCATAACTAAGAGTTATCGTCAATTTTTCCGATTTTTATCTGAAATCTACACGTGCCTCTAACGTTATTTGGCAATTCAATTCGATTTGAAGAAATTCTGCAATAATTTTCCATAAAATTTACAATTATGAGCAAAGTAACAACTGCAGCTTAAGCATCGTTTGATCTTCTATCTTGAGTAGGTCTCATTATTAAGAAATGCTTTCAGCTGGTTGCAGCAGGTGGCAATACTGCAAGTGGTTGCTGTGTTGCACATGCTTGGCTCGGTTTGGAGGAGGCCATTAAGTGCAGTTCACTTTTTAGTTGGGATTTATGTTTTATAGCTCCAATTGCCCCACTGTCAATTCGCGGCAATAATTTTTCCCATCTGTCCAAACAATTGGCACATTACAAAGTAGAGAAAGCATTCAACACATTCACTTTTGGCCGGTCTCAGTCTCAGCCTTCGGCCCCGCCAACCTACGAACTGTGTGGCAACCTCTCGTTGTTGGGAAGGGGAGCGGAGTAGTGGGAAAAGAAGGTGGCTTAAGGAATGCACCACACCAATTGGCTTAGTTCGCTCAGTTCCTTGGCTGGTTCGGCCTGTAAAACATGCTAATCTGATTTCGTGTTATGTGTTGAGTTTGGCTCCCCAGCCGCTTAAGCCAGCGTCCATTTGTTCCGTCTGGGTAGGAAATAAATTTTGTACGTTTAGGTTTCATAAAGCGTCGTCGGGTCGATGGTTTGCTGTTGTTGTTGCTTGGATTAATCGACAAATAAAAATCACATAAAATAAATTAAAAATTATGAGTTTCAAGTTTCAACAACCTGCGGATTGGCAACAGATTTAGTTTGATTTTAAATCACACAACAAAAAAAAAAAAAAACAAGGAAAATAAAAGAAAACCAAAAACAAAAACAACAAGAAAATCGGATAAAAAAATACAGAACGAATAATAACAAAGTTGCAGAGGCTGCGATCTGTCTGTTCGGCATGAAATTTATGCAGACAATGTGCAATATTAAAAAGCAATAAACATTTATTTTACAACAGACAAGTGACACTAGATACAATGAGATAGAAACAGCATGAGAGAGAAAGAGAGGGACAGAGAACAGAACGTTGTACACTTTCTACTGCGGTTCGTTAGCTTTACATGGGGGATAATCCAGCCTTTGTCTGATTTACACACAACCGATATGTGGCGACCATACATTCGATATGTGCATATATCATACACGATGCTATAGATAGATTATCAAGATTATCAGATGATACTGGCTACCACATTCGTTCGGCTGCCGCTCTCAACTTACTTTTGTGTCGTGTTTGAATTTATTGAAAGTGTCATCTAATGATTTGCGAGTTCTAGTAAATTCTAATTTCCATTTCACCCTAATGCATCCCATCGGAAGCTCAGGTTGATTTAATTGATCTCTGTAAGCACCCGAGAGGTGAATGTTTTAATAAATAGAGAATTATATATTACTCTTTGGCATTTCAACCTTATCAACAATTCGAAGCACAAAAAATATATAAACAAAATTTAAATTTCTGATTCAAATCAATTAACAATTTCTCACAAGCTTAGTTTTTAAATTATCAATTTTGTCACCTTGCTGAATTCTATATTCATGCATAATTAGACTCTAAAATAAAATAATAATAAAAAAAAAAAACACATTATGTGCCACTGTTTAAGCATATCATATTCCATGTTCATATTTATCGTATGACTTCATTATAAATCGCCCATTTGTTCATCTTTTTTAAGCTAACCACTAATTTGGGTACAGGTTTTCTTGAAATTTATTAACCTCGCTTATTGCATAATTCTACAAATCCAAACTGAGCAAAACTAACAACATTTAGTAGCAATTAAGTGAAAGTGTTATGAAATATACACATGAAGCGTACAAATGCTGAAACAATGCACTTTAAATACTTAAGCATACTAAAATATTTTATTTGTATTCCATGCTAATATTTTTGTTTAATATATTTGCTGTGACTAAAATAAATTATGCTTGAGCAACTTGTTAAGCACCACGCTCAGCCCCTGTTGCATATATTGACGAGTTCAGCTACAGCCAATTTATTTGAATTAGTTGGTATATTTTGCGTATAGGTTGTCTAAGTACCCAATACCACAAAATCTAACCAAAAAAATGTGTATATATGGAATGCTGTTTCCAGCATTTTAAGTAATAGATACCCTGTAGAAGTGCGTACATTCAGCTTATATTACAATATATTGCTTTGAAAAGTATCAAAGTTATAAATACAACTTTAAAATTGCAAAATATCAAGCCCATTAAATTGAATTTACATTTATACAATTTTCCATTTCCCTGCCACAAACGCACATCTGCGAATCTATTGAATACCCCTGCGAATCTATTGAATACCCTTGTTATTCGCCTTTTTGACAGGGTACAAAAAATTCAGTTGATTTGATCAGCTCAACACCAATTTCCCGCGTCGTCATCAAAACTGACAGTACAAAAATATATTTTTGGATCTTGTTGATTTTGTGTGTGATTAATTATAGCTGCTGCTGTTTTTTGTTGTTGCTTGTTATTTGTTGTTAACCTTAAGTTGAACAAAAATAGCAAGTAGAATTTTAAATATTTTATGGATTGTGTGATGATGCAATGTTGGGATATATCCAAATTTCAAGCTCATTATAATATAAAATTATTAAAAATAATTCAGTTATGAAAAAAAAATTAAACTAAAGGCACGTTTACTCCAGTTTCATCGCATCGTCTCGCAGTTGAGCTAAGTGCCATTAACGTGGCCGTCGCGTCGTTTTCAGCCAAATAAGCGCAGCACAAAATAAAAAAAATAATAATAATACAAAAAAAATTATGATAATTGCCCTACTTGACCTTGGCAACATGTACAACTGCCACAAATACTTCTCGTAATACCAAATGCGCTGCATGGCAAACAAATTTTGCACATCCACTAAACTCACTAAACTAGGCTCGCGGGTGTACGGGGGAAGGCCCCATAAAAGTCAGCCATGTGCTCGTCTCGCATTGTTTGCATGCAATTATAAAAAACCGCAAGAGCGCAAAAAAAACATAATTTAATTAAAATGAAATCATGCACAAAGCAATTGCCTCGCTTTGTTCATTGTGCGCAAAATGCTCGAAACAAATTGTTCTAGTTTTTGTCTATTTTTTATTCGGTTTTTTAATTTTTTTTATTGTTTTTTATTTAATTTTTTATTCATGACTCGTCGACACTGAAGACGGCCGCACAATGTTGTGTTGGTGTTGCCTTGTAGCAGTGTTGCGAACAACAACAAAAAATATGGCAAAATTATAATCCCATGATTTGCGTAGTGCAATCAAAACTCGGCTTAGCGATCACAGTGGGGAAGTGTGATTTTTTGTTTGTTTAAATGTTAAGTCGCCCAACTAATTGATGCATAGATTTACATTGCAAATTGTGGAGACTTGTTGATCATAATTTTTAACAAAATATTTGTGTGATGTTCTTGAAAAATAGTTGAGTTCAAAAAGTTAAATATAAATTTTTTTTTTCAGTATTTTCATTGATTGCAATTTTGGCAAAGCAAATACACAAATAGCAGATCGTTGTGCTATTCGTTCAACATGTTAAAGATTGTAGAAAACAAGTCGAATAGCTTCAGGCAGCCGACAGCTGTGGCTTCTTCTGATGCTGATGAGTCATGTTTGTAATGCGAACTCGTTTATATCAAAGCGATTTATGTAAACTAAATGGTTCCCCTCCCAGAAATTGTCGAAATTGTTGTATAGCGTGTATGGCATTTGCCCGCTTTGGACATTTGCCCGGTTTGCTTTCTTTTTTCGCGTTACAAATACTTGAGGCATTTTGTCAGCTGCACACGCATCGCATCTCATCGCATTGCGCGCTGTTGCCGGATCTGAGACCTCTCCCAGAACGAGCTTAGTCACGGGCCTGGCCAGCGAGTTGCTAGCTGCGAGTCGCAGCAATTTGTCAAATGCGCATCGCGCTGTCTGCAGTAAAGCAA